GTGGAGGGCATTTGCCCAGCCAGCAACCTGATGTCGCTGCAAGGCAGCTTCAGAAGAACTCCCTGGCTGCGGGGAAGGTTCCTCAAAGGCAGCCACAGCAGCAAGTCTGGACCTCAGAGGTGCCAGGTACAAACCTTGGGTTCCAAGGAATGCAAGTGCTTGTTCAGGTCCTGCAGACACTGCAGAAACTGGCAGCAGAAGCAGGAGTCACACAACAGCTCATATGCCTTTTGGAGGAGCTGGTGAATCCTGGTGGCGCAGTGGGGACAGGGTTCCCCAGCTCTGGGCTCCACCAGATGTCCCACCCCACTTCAGGAGCTCAGAACCAGCAGATGCGGATGCAACAGCGCAACATGCCTAACTGAGAATGGGTGCAACGAGCACTCTCCAGAACCAAGCTGGTTCACCAGCTGATCGGAGACGATGGCAATAGAGCGACCAAAATCCTACTGTGCTCTGATCGTCTCAGCAGCACTGTTATATCATTAAAAGAAAAGGGAAAGAAAGAGAGATTCATGACTTCAGATTAAAAAAAAAAAATCTTAAATCTTTCAACACATCATTGCTTTTTTTCTTTATTTTTTTTTTCTGGTTTCATCAAAGGTGGGAACCCCATGACAATCACAGTAGGAATGAAAGTCTGTTGATTAAAAGCTGTTTGTATAGCAGTGATGATAGCAGAGCTGGTTAAAAATGCTGCTTGTATGCCTATTTTTTTGAATGTCCTCAACATATTTGTGTGTGTGTGTTTTGTTTTGTTTTGTTCCCATCCTTGATTTCTGATGGGAGACTAAGCTGTTTCACAGACAATGTGTCATGAAAGCAAGTAAGTATAGGCAGAACATGAATACATTTGAACCGAAATTAGATACTTTAAGGTCTTCAGGGCATGGAGGACCTGGAATAGCCTCCCAGTCGCTGTCACAGGGGTTATAGCTGATTTTAAGACAGTGGTGAAATGCTAGACAGCCCGTGACTGCAAGAGACTTGTTTTGCTCGTTCAGACGGTCTCCTCCAGACCTGCCTGCCTATCTGACAACAAGAACACATTGACAAAATGACCCGCGGTTGAAGAGCTTTTTGTGAAAGCTTTTTGACCATCTCTAATAACAATTGACCTGCCATCACAAGTTGTCTATATCAAAAAACAATTTTGTTTAGTGGTGTCTCTGCTATGCAGTTTAACTCACATGGTTATTTCTCCTGTCTTCTTTACCGCTTCTCCTCTTCTGCTCTTCCTCAATTATGCACTTAAGCACGTGCCTAACTCTAAGCACACCAGCAATGCGGCTGAAGTTAGTGTGCATGCTCAGAGGTGGCAGAAATTTGAGTATGGCCCCTATTATAAACATCTCAGGAGCAGACTTGCACCGTCATAACCACAGAACCAGGGTGAGATGGGACCCCGTTGTGCCCGGTGCTCTACAAATGCAAACCAAGCTGCAGGGAGCTTCCAAACTATAGTATAAATAATGGAAAATGGGCAGGGAAGACAACAGCAATAACGCGGTAGTACTGGCCTGCGTGCTAGGTCTCGTCATCTCAATGATGAGAATGTTACTGAGCTTGTGACCTGCTGACGTTTAATGTGAGAGTAGCTGTATTTTAGTGAACAGTCCTGGTGAGCTCAGAGGAAACTCTGCCATGGGCAAGGCATCCTTGGAGACACGCACATTTTCACCCCTATCTTAGTGGCCAGCTTGGTGGAGATGGGGTTTGTGTTCAGGTGTACCAAGTGAGTTCATTTTAGGGATCACTACACTTACCTGGATTTCCAGGAACAGTTTTACAAAAGTGAACAAATAGTTTTAAAGTCTCAGCCCCAGCATGAGTGTGGTAGCCGGGTCACGGAGCAGACCGCACAGGTGCAGCAAAGCGTCCCTGAGTCAATGAATCACTAGCTCAGCAATTATTGTCCAAAGGTGCATGGTCCAAATGGGATATTAGCCAGCTGATCAGGAAGATTTATATTTCTAACATGGTTAAATTGTTAGCCTAATAACCCCCATGAGCTGTGAAACCATAGCTTCTGCACTTCGCATTTCATTTCTCTCTCTTTAAAGACCTCTCGGTCTGTTTTTAAGCTCACTTGGTATGGTAGGCTGTTTGTAGGCATGTTTGGATTGCAAGGACCTTTCCCTGGGGAGGAGGAAGGGATTTTCACAGGAGAAGTTTTGCAGCATCCATGCAATGCATGCAAAAGCTCAAAAGCTTTGGGACACGAGCCAAAGTCCGTGGAGTTAGCGGGAGAAGTAGACCTTTGTTTTCAGTGAATGTGTGGGATGGCTTTTCATGTTTGTATGTATTGAGGAGTCAAGCACGTATCTGAAGTTGAGATCACGCTTCGGGTTTGTGCTGAGTCAGGCTTTAAGCACATTTGGAAGAAAAGAGCCTGAAAACTGTATTTGAATGCTTTACTAAATAAAGATGGAGATAAGCACAGCCTCCAGTGTGTACCAAGCCTTAAGTGTTTCAAGTTAAAGTATTACATTTCCATTCATTTTTATTGCTGTCTGCAAACAATAGTGCTTTATTAATTATTCTGCATCTGCAGAGCTCTGTGGATAATACGTTACAGTAGCAAATCTTAATGTTTTTACTTCATCTCACCTCCATCATCATAATATCTTAACAAATGTTAGTTAATTGATAAAAGTTCCCAGGGCACTTCATAGCAGGCAGATAATAAATAGCACATCCTTGTAAGCTGTCCTGCCTAGATCGAGATAGTATGTCAACAGTGAGCACGCAGTCATTGATTGATTGCTCTGCTCTGATGTATTAGAGATCCCTGCTGGTCCCCAAAGCTCTCCCAAAGGTCCACAGTAGTTGGGAAGCTGGCTGATCGAAGCTCCTTGGGCCCCAATATGCATTCCCCTCAGGGTCTCTGCTGGTTCCTAGAGGGGAACCAGTGGTTCAATAAATCCACTACTCTTTTCTAAAATCCTAAATGAGGACAAAATCAGCTAAAAGGCTTACAGCAGGAACGTTTGCCAGTGTCCAACTCTGAGCTTTCAAATTCTTCTCCGTCACAGTTCACCAAACAGATCCTAACCACAAATCCCTTCCAGTCTAGGAACAAGGATGACTCACATCTGATTGACAAGTCCCTTCTTGCTTCATGCTGGCTCATCTGCACCACCCTGGAAACTGCTTTGAATGCCAGGACTACGCACTTAATATTGCAGAAGTTACTGGTGTTTAAGGTTCAGGTGCGATGACTGAGGAGGATTCACTGAGATAGCTATGGGACACCCCTAATGCAGAGCATCTGTGATTACCTGCCTGCTCTGGGCACACCCGAGGGTCTGTAGAGCTCATGTAATCCCCACCCAATTAGCAGTGCAGGAGGAAATAACCCAGAAAAAGAAATTGGTAATGCCCCTAGTGCTCTCTGCGGCCTGCAGAGAGCTGGGGCTAGAGTCACAAACAGTGGTGCCCCGCACTCTCCCCTGGCATGCTCAGAAAGCAGTATAAAACCTACCACCTGGGGTACGGTCACAGCAGAGCCTGTTGCCTGGCACAGGAGACTGGTAAGTCAGCTGGGTGCAAGGCTCTGTTGTTTCAGTAGAGTTTGGTGAGATGGAGACTGACTAGAGAGGTGGGGTGATGCCAGCGGTCCATGTGGGATTTACTGCATTATATCACTGCCAGAGGTGGGTAGCCATTGCCTGGCAGCAGATTTGGCTGCGTGATCCCAAACTCTCTGCATGAGAGTGTGAGGGAGGGGACCAGGTAATGCCTTTCTTGAAGGAAAGCAAGAGGATAGTCTATTTGCTCAGCTCTGTCAGACTTAGTTGATGTAGAGGAATTCACCTCTGAGAATGGACTTGTGACCTGCTAATACAAGTGTGCTGTGTGTGTGCTAGCACAGAAGTATGCCTGTAAGTTTTCTGCATCCTTTAAAACTGCACTTACTGGTGTCAGGGAGTTCAGAGGCTTGCTTTCTTCATGAGCAGTAGCGGCTTAATTTCACCTGGCAATCCAACAGCAGCTCAGAGCTCTGATTTATGCTGTATGGGCATATCACCTAAGGTGGCAGCTCCTGACGTAAAGCTAGCTCCTCCTCATGGCACCGTAAAATCCCTTTTACATCCTGGATATTTTGGTAAAGCCTTGTTGCTGGTAGCTTTTAATTTTAACTCTTCTCATCCCACATGAGAATTTTTCCAGGTACCTGGGTAACTGGACTTTGCGGTCTGGGGCTCTTACAAATTAGAGCTATCACTGCAGTTGAAAGAAAAGCAAATAGTCTTCTGTTTCTCACCCCTTTTGGGAATATTCCCTTTTGGGAATAAAAGAGGCTTTTTCCTGCCTTTCACTTCTCTTACTCTCAGGGGAGTGAGCTCTCACGCAGGGTTACAGACAGACCCTTTTTTGGGGGCTGATACGGGGAGATAAAGTCCCAGGAAGGACAGGCTCCTGTGTCCTGATTTCCCTGGTCGCTTTCAGATTACAGTGATTCATTAACACTGGGTGTTCTTCAAATAAGATCCCAGAGCAGGATGAACAAAGCTCACGTGTTTGTGGCAGCTGTGGGAGAGGAGAGAATTCTTCTTAAAATATCTCCAATCCTGAAGATTTCTCAGTTACAGCATAGATGATCTCATCCAAAATGTCACCCTGAGGAACACTCATGTGATCACTATTTCAAGAATGAATCTCTTGTATATTTTGTTGTAGTTCCCTGCAGTTGCAGGCAGAAGACTCTCCTTATATCAAAGAACCGAGGAGTAGAAATGACACTAGCAAGCCCAGACAAAAAGACCTGAATAGCAGGAGAGAACCCTGACTGAACCAACCGCCCAATATTTGACACTTCCAGAGAAAATTTGATTCAGAAGTCTAAGTATCTCAGCTGTGAGCAATACTAATTAAGAACTCAGTTCCCCTTTGGCTAATACAGTATCCTGGGTACAGTTCAGCTGCTCTTAGAGACATTCTTTTATCATTACACACAGCTCCTGCAAGAGAGAAATGACTTAAAAATATTGCATTGAATGATGTCAGCGCCCAACTACTCGAGCTCACACCCAGCGGTTTTCATCTTGGTTGGCATACCTGGCATGGAGAAATCTCACATCTGGATCTCCATCCCATTCTGTCTGATGTACATTGTCGCCCTTCTAGGAAACTCTGTCCTGCTGGTCACCATCGTGAAGGAGCGAAGCCTCCATGAGCCCATGTACATCCTCCTGTGCATGCTGGCAGTGTGCGACTTGCTGTTATCCACTGCCACTGTGCCCAAAACCCTCGGTGTCCTCTGGTCTATCTCCACCAAGATCTCTTTCAGTGGCTGCCTGGCGCAGATGTTCTCCATCTATTTCATTTTTGTGGCAGAGTCAGCCATCTTACTGGCGATGGCCTTCGATCGGTACATTGCCATTTGTGACCCGCTGCGGTACAGGGCCACCCTGACGTGCTCTGCCATTGCGAAAGTTGGTGCGGCGGCTTTAATCAGGAGTTTCTGCATCATGTTCCCTGCCATCTTCCTCCTCAAGCGGCTGCCCTACTGCGGACACAACATCATGCCGCATACCTACTGTGAGCACATCGGCGTGGCCCGGTTGGCCTGTGCCGACATCACCATCAACATTTGGTACGGGGTAACAGTTGCCTTCCTCTCGGCTGGCTTGGATGTCATATCCATCACGATCTCCTACATGCTGATCCTGAGGTCCCTCCGGGGGCTGCCATCCCCACGCGCCTCCCCCAAGGCTCTACAAACCTGTGGCTCCCACCTCTGCGTCATTGCCATGTTTTACACACCGGCCTTCTTCTCCTTTCTAGCACACCGATTTGGTCAGCACATTCCTCGACATGTCCTCATCTCCCTGGCCAATCTCTACGTTGTTGTACCACCCATGCTCAACCCTATCGTGTACGGAGTGAGAACAAGGAACATCCGAGAGCGAGTGGCCCGCCTGCTCTTGCCAGGGGGCTCAGGCATAAGGACATAGCCAGGTGGGTCGCGGGTGAGGAGAGGGCCTTGCCCACTGGCAAGGTGAGGGAGAAATGAAGCTTTGAGAAGAGGGAACTGATTGAAAGACAATGGGGAGCTAGCAAAATGGACCAGAAAGGAGCACTTTTGAGATAGGTGTGTTCAGTGATCACCAGCATGTTTGGCCCTAAAGCAAAAAACACTTTGTCGTGTGCTAAGGCTAATATCAAAAAGGAGAAAATGGGATTATCAGAGAAATGTGAAACTGCTTAGTTTGACATCAACTCCAAATAAAATAATGGAAAAGTGAATATGAGACTTGATCAATTGTAAAAAAAAAAAAAAAAAAGGCAATAAAACAAGTATTGATTGTCGTTAAAGTGTTTTATTTCCATAGAAACATGTCATTTAATTTTCTGATGGCTTCCACTTTTGGGTGACAACGTTACCTGAAGACTGAATGCAAGCGTGAGGATGTTTTATTTTTGCAGTATTCTGATAGAAAAGAATACATCTCATTATAAGTAAAGCAGATGTTAACGGAGTACAGATTGGCTAACTGCAAAATCTTAATTCGGTGTTAGTGCCGCAACAAGAGCCAGTTTTCAATAAATTTCTGGGTAGATTCAGCAGCAATTGGACACAGGGTCTGATACTCTGTGATTGTTATCAGTTGTGTAGAAGTAAGTATAAAATCACTGCTAATAAGATTTTTAGATGACGCAAAGACCAGCATAGCCATACTGTTGAGATGGACAGGGCCATTATACTGCTAATTTAATAGAGGTGAATGCAAAGTCATACCCCTAAGGAATGAGGGATGCAGTCTGTACCTGAACTGGGGCTGTGTCTGAGCAGAAGCGACTAGAGGGAAGGAGCATTTTGGTGGGTGCACCTTGGGTGATGCTTGGCCAATAGGGCTGATGTCTTGGCCGTGGTCATGTCTGCAAGAGGACAGCCATGAGTTAGGGCAGTGGGCAAGGGCTGTACGGGCGTTGCATGTCTGTCATCCCCTTGGCTTTTACTCAAGTGCTTTGTCAAGTTCTGGGGTTCAGACTTTTAAAAACTTTTGGTAAGCTGGGAAGGACCGTCAACATGTGTAGCCTTCCTTTGGTGGGGTGGGGAGGGACCTGGCTTCCAGGAGAGATCCTGTTCCTGGTCTCCAGAACGCTTGCCTGTGTGTGCAGTTCATGTGCAACTGCCTTGGTGGTGATTCTGTGACCTCTCTCAGTGCCACAATAACGTAGGGGATAAAATTTTGGGGAAAAAATCAGGAGAAATCACTACTTTGGTTCAACTTTGTCCTGTGACGTTGTGGCTGAAAGCTGATTCACAGTCCCATCTTAAAGAAAATGAAAGCAAAGCATCTGGCAGAGTTGGTGTTATGAAGGAGGTGAAGCTAGGTGATCATAGCCATCCTTTGCGGTGTTAAAGGCTGTGAAAAATAACCCTTTGGTCCTAGGAACTGCTGAGTGTCAAGGCAAACCTCCTCAGTGTGTCTGCTGAAGAAACAGGAGGCCATGGGTGGTTTCAGCTAAGACTTTGGGTGCTGTTTTGAAACTAAGAAGCACAGACCAACAGTGGGGTGTGAAGGGATGCGTTTCCTTTATCTGTTCTAGATTTGTCATAAAATGTCCTTTATCCTTGTGTGATGAAGCAAGAGGAGCAAAAGTCGGTGTTTTGAGCTGTGGGCATCTCTGAACTATGACCAGTGTTCAGAGAGTTTCTTCCCACAGCCACAGTGGATGAGTCTGAAGTGTCTGACCACTATCACAGTTGTCATCTAAACAACACGAAAGGGTGAAAACAGCCAAGTGAAATGGGAGGAAAGTGTTAACTTTCTGTTTCTTCCTCTTATCAGGACTTATGTTCTGAGATGAGTGGTGGTGCGGGAATAGAGGGAAGCAAAATGAGCTCTCTCCTGGCTCAGGGTCCCCCGGGGTTCACAGAGAAGGTCTGTAAATATATCTATCTCTTGCTTGCTGTGAGTGCAGGTTCCTCAGCACCTGCACATGCCCATCTGAGGATTACCGGCAGAAATCCCACATTTGTGGCTGGACCAGGAAACTGGTGAGCTGCTTGCATTCAGTGAGCAAGTTTCTGAGCTTTTAGAAAGATGTTTTATCTGTGGGAGGGTTTAAATTAAAAATTATGCCTGCTGTGGCAGGCAGGAGACCCGTGCCACGACTGAGTGAGCTATGCTCCGTGACTGTTAAACAGGATTTGAACCTGACCTGGCTTTCTTCTCTGGAGAGTGACTCAGCTTGGCTGGAGCAGGCATCTGTGCTTGGCCAGGGAAATCTCCCTCCGTGATCTGCTGACTGCGCTGACCCGGGGCAGCTTCAGCTGCCCTCACTTGGGTGTCTGCTGCCCTTTGAGTTGTCCTCAGAGATCTCACCTGCCCTCCAGCTGCCCATGCAAAAGGACACATTGCTCCTAACAGCTCCACGCAGATGCTGCCAGGACCCTAGGGTGTGCCCCAAATATAGTGGGAACTCTGCTGCCTGCAGGGAAGCACCTAAACGTAGGCGTCTTCCTGTTGAACCGAGCCCTGCCAAGGCTCTTCTTTGGATTTTAGCCTCAGTCTCCTACTTTTTTTGTCTACGCACAAAAGGTCTGACGCGTTTTGTGGGACGTTTTCAGTGCAAGCTAACTGACCCACCCAGGTTCTCTAAAACCCTTGCTGTTGTTCTCCATATAGGAGAGACGCTTTGTCCTCAAAGGCCCATAGAAAAAAACCTTAGAGGATGTCAGCCCAAAGCCGCAGAAACAGACATGTGCAGAGTGGTACAGAGGTCCGTGCTTTGTGGTGGAACCGTGTGGTGCAACTGCTTTAACCAGGCAAGATTAACCTGGGTGTTCACATCTGCATGGGAATCCAGATTTATTGTGTCAGGCAGCAACTAAAGCAGTGTTAGAGTGTCATTACAAACAGAGATCTGTGAAGTTCTTCTTTGACTCTATAATTTTCTCCTCTAGGTATATGGCATATCCAGATACACAGACCCAGTGATCACCAAGATAGTCCTATGCTGGCAGCCTGCAGTTCCTATGGATAGACTGTCTCCCACCCCAGGGCAAAAGGCCTTAATGGCAGTGAACAATAGCCCTCTGAGGTGGAGTTGTCACAAGCCTCTGTTGCAGGAACTGGGGCAGCCCTGTCCATCTTAGGAGATGGGGTGAGAAACTGTTACTGAATTGTGTCTTTGGGCATCCAAAGGTCTCTGATGGAAACCTCTCAGGTAGTAAAAGGAGACACAGGCCCTGCTTCAGGGAACTTGTGCACTCAGCTGTGCATAACTGGAGACAACCAGGAGACCACGGACCAGGACAGTCCCCATCTTACACAAGTGCAGAGGAGAGCAGGAGCAGAGCAAAGGAGCATCTGTCCTCTCACAGCTGATCCTGACCATGCACAGAGGATGCCGTTGGACATGCACAGGCTCATGCAAGGGCAGGAGCAGAGCCCAGTCAGAGTATGAAACTGTGAAGATGTCACTGATGATGTCACAGTCCAGCAGGCTGCAGCCCAGAGGAAAGAGGCAGCAGGAGGAGGAAGGCAATGAGGAATCCAGTGGCATGGACATAGGAGCAGGGGAGCTGATAGGGATGGTCTGGGAACAGAGTCTGGCATTTCAGAGGGCCAGATCAGTTCCCACCTCTCATCTGCTGCTCCTCTGTACCTGAAAGCACAACAGCAAAGACAGTAGAAATAATAGTAATAGTAACAATAAGAATATCATCACTTAACAAAATACAAGCACTGCGCTGACCATGGTTGAGAGTGGAGAAAGAACAGCAATGTCCTCGGTCATTGCTGCCAACCCCTGCATCATCCAGTTCACAGTGAAGACGCCCAAGATGAAGAAGGACTTTGTGGTACCGGAAAACATCTCCATCAAGCTGTTCAAGGACATAATTTCCAAGCACTTTGGCTGCCACACCAGCCAGCTGGTGCTGGTATTCTTTGGGAGGATTTTAAAAGACCAGGAGACGCTCAGGCAACTCGGGATTCATGATGGTGTCACTGTCCATGTTGTTATCAGAAAGCCAAGGAGATCCCAGGAAGAGTTGGTGCATGCAGGGAGCCCACCTGCAAGTACCTGCTCCTCTCCAGTGCCACCCAGAGCCTGCTCCACCTCCACCAGCACATTTGTCTTGGCTGGGAGGAGCCCCAGCATCTCGGATATGAGTGGCCAAAGCATGGAGCCGGAGAACCAGCTGCGGTGTGTGCCCAGCTCAGCAGTCATGGTGCAGGCGTTGGAGAGCCTGTTTGCCCAGAGTATGCTTTCCAACCCTGATCTGATGAGGCAGCTCATCATGGCCAACCCACAGATGCAGCAGCTGGCACAGCAAATCCCAGAGATCAGCCACATACTTAACAACACAAGTGTCATGAAGGAGATGCTGGACATTGTCAGGAACTCAGAAATGTTGCGGGAGATAAGGAGTCAAGACCGAGCAGTGAGCAACCTCGAAAACGTTCCAGGACGTGACAACACATTGATGTGTGTGGGCACAGAGAGCCAGGATGCATTGTTGAATGTAAGACATGAGCAATTTGGAAACAACTCCTTTGCTTCCCTGGTGAGAAATCAATCCCTAGAGAGGACGGGCAGGAGAAGCCAGCCCTCCTGTAATGATACCAGGGACCGTTCAGGGTCGCCTTCTCCTTCCCGGACTGCCACCACCGTTTGTACCAGTAGCACCTCTGCCGACCTTGACCATGGTGTCACCAGGAGCACCACTCGTCTGCTTGGGCAGAGCTCCTTGTTACCCATCCTGGCCTCTGGGGCAGGAGCTGAGACCCCTGACGGAGGAGGAGTTCAGAGCATGCTCCATCAGGTCACCGAATCCCTCCAGCTGATTGTGAACTTGTGCGCCTTCTACACAAAGTGGATGACGCTGTTGCTGCTGCAGAGATCCCAGCTGGCAGCCCCGGCTACGCCTTCCGCCGAGGCCAGGCAGCAGCAAGAGGATGTCACGCAGAGGATGCCAGATTTCTTTCAGCACATCCAG